CCGCCTCAGCGCGGTGAAAGGCACTGATGGCACCCGGAGGAACCTCGAGAGGCTGAAGGAGGAGTCCATCAAGAAAAACGTGGTCATCCTCGGCGCCAGGAGAGGCGAAGATATCGCCCCCAGGATCGGAAACACGATCGCTACTCTGTGCGCCAAAATCGGGGACATTGCCCGATTCCTGGAGATGGGAGTGAGATCCAGGGCAGGGCCTATCCTCCCGACCAAGAGTGATCCTGACCTGATGATCCAGGCCATTGTTCCCGCACCCGAGGAGCTTCTGGACTACTTCGCCGACGAGATCCGTCAGAAGGTGAAGGGTAGAACGGGCGCCTCTTCGCACTACTACAGGAGAGCATGCGCGGAAATACGCGACGCGCTCCGTGGAACAGCTGTGCAGCCTGGAAATGCAGGTGCAGTCAAGGACCCAGAGTTGGAGGCCTCGTCTGCCAGCGGGCAAGGGAACGTTACTTCGGTGATACAACTGAAGAGGTTCCTGAGCCACTACTTCGGGACCAGCGTCGAGTCCGAGGATGCCTTTTCTTCATACCTCCTGTCTTCCTTTCTCGAGGATGGGGTGGGAATGTTCGAGATCATCATCACCGTCATTCGTGACAAGGAGCGTCGGTTGCTGCCTGGTTCCGCCCGCATAGCGGCGGTAAGGTCGCTTGAAATCGGATCCGACACTGATTACCGGGCATTTCGTGAACGATACCAATACATGCTCTACGAGAGCCCTGTTTGTCTTCCTATCACCTCCAAGGTGGTTCCTAAGACGCTCTACAAGGTGGTGCCTCTCCGAATGTATCGGCTCTACGTAGAACGTGGGGCGATCATTCGGGGTGGGCGAGCTCTGATCGAGCTCCTTCCCTCTCGGCCGGATGAGTATCAATCCCTCCGCGATCACGGAGAGTGCCCCAACGACACTGTCGACCGCATCACCGACAGCAACGTGACGGAGCTGCACACCTCGGGTCGACGCCAAAGGAGCGATCCCCGATATGTGGTCATGGCTATCGATGCACGTTTCTTCTCCATGGAAAATGGGGGCATGCATATTACTCGTCAGGGTACCTTTGCGTCGCGCGAGAACATCGCGATCGGGTACTGGAGATGCGTCTACTTCAAGGAGGACTGCTCCATCATTTACCTGAGGCCTTGGTGCTATCCGCCCAACTTCCTCAACTCCTTGAGTGATAACCCGAGGAAGTGTCGGGACGAGATGGAGAAGTACCATCAGATCACCAAGACGGAACATGCCCGCGAGGTGGTGTCCGTTCCATGCCATAGGTGCATGACGGCCCATCCGGTCGGCGCTCACCTGTGCACCGCCTGCTACCTTCCCATCTTCTACGATGGCGTCCTGCCCACCGGAGACACGAACGGCGGCCCTCGCACGATAGCGAGCACTGACGGGTTGATTCCTCCCTGGCTGGCAAAATACGAGGGCTTCGTCCCCGCTCTGTGGAACAACTCAGACGCCAACGCCATCGGTATGGCCCTCTACTCGCAGAGTCCCGCCGTCGATGCCCGGTCCTTGTTGATGTCTGGGATGCGGCCTCCTAAGTACCTTGACAAAGAGGACGTGGATGGCATTTTCCGGAAACTTCACGACTCGCTCCGAGACGAAGTCCTTGACGGCAAATACCGTGACACGGTCGACAACAACGTGGAAGAGTGGGTAGCAAAGGCGATCCTGGTAAGGGGTCTGGCCTTCAACGGGAGCTCCGTCCCCGAATTCTTCGAAGAATATGAGGGATATGCGGCTGAGTGGGGCAGACGCCTAACCACCGCAAACTTCAACGCCAACCGGTGCGGTTTCTACACGTCCTACTACATTCTTGAGGCCCATATCATTGGGCTGAGAACAGGACACCTTTCTCCGATACTCCCCAACGATGTGTCCGGGGAGGGATTCAAGTTCCAGGTGGGGCTGCTCGCACAGCACTGCGGGATATTGCAGGCCATGCGGAGAAGGGCCGGATTCGATCCTGCCGCGCGCCTCAAACGGGCTATGGACACGATACGGGAAGGCATTAAGAAGGGGTATGTCTACACCCTCAACGACCTCAGCAGTATGGACGATCTGATCTACCGGACGTCCACCGTTGCCTACGACACCTGCTTGGCCGACCGTCCTCAAACCCAGGATGACATCAAACAGGAGCTATCCGACCCTGTACCAAGGAAATACCGCTTCCGACCCCGCGATCGCCATCGACCCGGAATTCGCCTTACACCAGGCCCCGGCGTGAAGGACGAAGACGAGCCCGACTTTGCTGGATCAGCGGAGGATGAGCTGGGATCGGATGGTTCTTCGCACGAAGATGACGAGAAGCCTGACGACCTTGACGAGCCCATGGGCGACGACGAGGAGGAGATCCCTCCCCCTCCGCCACCGCCCCCGGCTCCTCCTGCGCCGCCTGTCCCGGTAGAACCGGAGACTCCCGTGGTGCCGCATGCAGGCGTCATTTCTGGCGATGCTGTGCCAACTCCTCCTCCTCCTCCTCCCGCTCCCATTGCGGCAGGCGTTACTACGACTGGGGATCCGTTTGAGGAAGAGGACATGGCCATCAATACTCGTGTCCCTGACACCGAGTCCGAGCTGGAGGGTGAGTCCGACCAACCCAAGGCCAGAAGGACATCTCGCGGTCGGGTCCCCGCGCCCGAAAAAGGGCAGGGGGGCGTTCAGGTCCCGCCTAGCGGGCAACCCAGCTCTAAGAGCATGGCCCAGCCTGCCCGCCCATCCCCGGTCCCCGCGAGAAGCGGTGTGGAAGGTGGGGAGAGAAGGGGCAGGACTAAGGGTTTCTACACCCAGAAGGATCCTTTTACCGGCGAGGACGCGACTCCCCGAGTTCGTCTTCGATCGGGCGGTCCCGGAACTCCTGCGTCCCCACCACGGGATGCCACCGGTTCCTTGGGCGGCCATCGCGGCTATGACCCGCGTGATGACGACAACGACGAGTGGGAGCTTCCCCCGGGTGTGCCTCGGACCACTCGTGCGGCAGATGAGTCGCGGCCCCGACGAGATGACGATCGGTCAAGGACCGCGCTTGGGGCCCGCGAGGATCGTCGTGGTCCTAAGGGTGAGGGGAAGGGTCGAGGAAAACATCGACCTGGCAAAGGAGGACGTGAGGATCCCGGCCCGCCCCGACAAAGGGATGATCGTGGCAGGGACACCCGCGGAGGCCGACGCGATGATCGCCGACCTCCTCCACGTCATGAGGAGACCTCCGAGAGGCGCGGCCCGGGACGAGATGAGCGCCGCGGACGTGATGACCCGGGCGATGACCGTCGCGATCGCCACCGGGACCGGCGCAGGGATGACCGACGTCACCAATCAGATCCCCCTCCGCCTCGCCGACCTCCGGCTGGCGACCACAATAGGGGTGGTGGTGAGGATCGCCGTCGGGATGGAGGAGGTGATCGAGGTGACCGTGGTGGACGCCGAAGAGACGACGCGCCCAGGGACCGGGAAGAGCCTGGTTCAGGGTGGTAGACGGGTGCCGCAATCAGCATCCGCCGGTAGACGGGTGCCGCAATCAGCATCCGCCTTAGAAGGGCGAGGATAGTACGTGTGTCGCCGACAAACGCGACCGCGCCGGTCCTCCTCTCGCCCGTGCAGCGCTGCTGGGGGTGATGATCTCCATTGCCCTGTACCGCTGATCCGGCGTTGCTCGTGTCCCTCCCGCACCGCTGCCGTGCGCGCCGGAGACGGTTCCCCTGGCGATCCTGTGTGAGGCTGTGACCGCACTAGAAGTGCCGGGCCGGCCATTGCCAGTTATTTTCACACCAATTTCGGAACTTCTGTTTCTAATTTCCTCCCAACTCGACTACTCTTCCAACCGCTCCACGGCGTGCAGTGAGGCGCGGTGATCCAGATAGGATCCCCCTCCGCATGGCATCGTCCCATGACGACTCATGAACGGCACGAGAGGAATCTTCGTCTGGTTCCTCCAATATGTCTTTGTTCACTCATGTGGTCCACTCGTCAAATAATCCTGTCGCCCCGATAATTCGGGGTGGTGGCGGGATTTTAACTGGGGCCCAGGTGATGCCGTTTGGCTCACCTCTGAGTTGACACCGGCATTTTTGGTTGGTCCCTTTCGTCGTGAACTCAACTGTCTCGCATCCTTTCTCTCGTCCTGATATCGGATGAGGGGGGTGTGTTTTGTTCACGTGTCGTTTCATCATGTGGCAAAGCGGCCGAATGGCCGTTTGGCTCAAGTTTTTGGGAACTCCCGTCAAGTTCCCCTCGGACTCGCGTGCGAACGCCATATCCTGGCATCGCTCTTCGTCACCGCAAAAGGCTTTGTGGTGCCGCGGCGCTTTGGGGGTAGGAGGTGTTCGGTGGGCCGTCGAGGTGTCCTTGGGCCTGTCCCTCAAACTACTGTACTGCAATCCCATTTCTAACCTCCCCAAACCTGATCTTCTTCAACTGTCACTCCCACAACCTGGTCACCAGCACCTTCTCCATTGTGCGTTGAGACTGGGTTCTTTTGGTACTTCGTGGATTACGTGTACCTCTTTGATTCCCTGGGCTACTTCGTGTTCGCCCAAAACCGCAATATATATATATATTGTATATATATATATATACGTATTTACTGACAGTTGGTGGAAAGCACACGTTGACTCAACCAACAATAACACCGGCATGGTTTGACACACACCTGTTCAACCAACATAATGCTGACAACACCACTCGCCAAACAGCAAACAGTTGAGCTTAGGCGGCTCAAAACAACTCCTTTTCAACCAAGTGAAAAGGTATTCCGCGAAACTTTCAAACAGGGGGGGTTAAAAGCAACACCATGCTTGGAGTCCAACGAAGGGTTTGGACACAACACGACTCACTACCCATCTTCTGTGGGTTTCCTGCGGGGATAATCTTAACAAAGCAACACATGGGGGTGTCTTGCACCAGGCCCAACAAACGTTGGCTGCTTCTTTGGCCATCCTTTGAGTCAACCAACAACGGGTTGGTTTGCGACTGCGGCCACGTGGCTTGGACATCTGCTTGGCCAGGGTCAGGATTGGGATCAGCTCCTGGTCTCGCCCGCCCGCCAGTGGCCATGTCCCGCTTCTGTCTCTTGTGAGGTTGGACCCCCCAAATGGATTTCGGTCTTCCTTTTGGCTTCCCTGAAACCATCAAACAAGGGATACCCTCAAAAAGACAGACCCAGGGGGCGCATGCTTTTTCCGATCGAATTGGCGGTCTGGTTCTGTGTTTCATTCTGTCTGGCTACTTCGGAACTGCGAACAAGGCGGAAGGCTAACAACTGTGACTCTCACCTGCAGCCTCTTCTATGTCCTCCCTTTTTGGGTTGGAAATGGGCAGGAAGCAGGATCTAAACAACAACGGCTTCTAACTGAACCAGTTGCCCCCAAAGTTGAACAGTTGGCATTGGACAAGTCGCCAAAACCCTTCTTTGTTGGGGCCCAACTTGTCTTTAGATCGTTTTCGCACACATAAGGGACAAGGTTTAGAGAAGCAACTCAGAGATGGAGGAGTTCAGGGTTCCACGTATCGAGCATGGCACCGGTTGTTGAGAAGCCACGTTCGAAGGGCCAAGAGTCCAAATAACCATCGCAACATATTTAGTCCCAAGGGGTATGAGTCACTGAACTTGCAGCTCTGCAGTCGTGCTTCGTTTTGCGGCGCTGGGGTTTTGCGGGCTCTGACCTCCCATCCTCCCGCCTGTTGAGCCATGGAGATCTTCTGGTCAGTGACCAGGATCAAAGGGTTGGTCCTACGAGAGATCATGGCTCCCGAGGCTACACCAACACATGGATCTGTATTTTGTGTTGTCATTATTTTGTTTTCTTTTTGTTTGGGGGGGAGGGGTTGCCCTTTTGTTGGGCGTTAAAGGGAAACCAATAAGAAAACAGAACGTTCTGTTTTTTTTTGGGGGGGAGTCCCTCAAAGAAAGACACACCCAAATAGGTGCTCAGACTCTGTCTCAAATTAGGAGGAGATATCAATCACCCGTTTCATCAGCATCGCTCCCGTGGCTGGCTTGGGGCACTTTGACCAGTTTCACAACGAATCCGGCTGTGATTTAGACAAGGTTGGATTAGGCACGTTGAAAATCACAACTCGGGAAAAATCACAACTCGCCCAAGACCTGAAACCAGTTAACCGCGAAAAAGTTCTGTGCAGTCCGGGAGTGAGAACCACTTTCATATGAAAAAAACAAAACTTGACCCCTGCAGGACATGTGGCCCTTGCTCCCCACCCACCCGCCCCCACGCACGTCACCCCGCGAAACGCGTTCCGAGGGGCGACTCCCACTTGCGGCTGGTGGGGTTGGAGGCGTCCAGGCAGAGGTACGGAGACAAGTAGCCCTGGGGACAGCCGGTGACCCGTATGGGGGTGGATGGATGGATCGGTGGATGGGTGGATGGGATGGAGGTGCGCTGGCTGATGGCTGGCGAGGAAGTCCTGGGGCCATTCTTCTCACTTCGGGGGGTTCTCAAAGTTGGATCATGGGGTTGTTTCCCTTGTGGCCGGAATAAACCAGTCTTTGCAGGGCAAAAAACGGGTGACCAGTTATTGAGGAAACCCTGTGGTGGCGTCTTTGGGGCGGTCTCAGGTTGGCCGCGAATTGCAATTCCACTTCTGCGATACCACCAGAAGACAAAGGCCGTCCCAATGACTATTGCAACAAGGGGGAGGTTCCGAAAGTGCATCGCAGGAGTACGCAAAACCCCCATGGTTTTTCCAACAACCACGGAAATGAACAGGAGGATTTTGGGGGACTCAACCCATCTAAAGCAGGCCCCTGTTCATTTCCATGATGGAAAGTTCGATTCCCTTTTGCCTCCCTTCAAGAATCAGGAGCACGTTTACAGGGACCCGGCTTGGGCGTGGCGCAGTTGATCTCTTGAGTTGATCCCTGCACTCAATGCACTCTCTGTCCAACATGGAACCCACCAAAGAATCCTGAAGGAAATGCGTCTTCCAAATGCCCTGCTAGTGGAGCGGCTAGCCTCTTGGAGGGAGCCCAGTGGCCATGGCATGGGAGGGGTAACGCCACTTTTCGGCGTCCAAAGGCAGAAATTTTCCACAGCGCCTTGTCGAGGTTCATGCCTTCCGTGAGCTCCACCTCTGTATCTGTGGACTGCGACCTCAGGAATTTGAGTTGCCGACCGACGAAAGTGTGGAGCTTCTAAAACCAGTCTATAAAAGAATGATGCCCACAACAAACAGAAGCAAGAACAACAACTAACCTGTTGTGTTGTTCCTCTAAAAACAACATGGCCTTTGCAAAGCAACGCAAACACCGCACAACATTCCTCCACCTCAATCTACGGGTTTCTGCGTGTTGAGAACGACAAAGATCCGCGAAAACACCGTGTTATGTTGTATCCTGTGGTGTTTGTTGTTTCGGAAATCCGCAATATGTTGTTTTAGAGTGGAAAAAAACATGAACAACTGTGTTTTCCTGCGAACACAACAACACATTATACAAGTTGTTGAAGCCTTGGTCAACGTTTAAGCCGACCTATATAATCAAAGGCGGTTCCCGTTTTGCGGGAATATACATGGAAGTATTATGTTTGAGGGTTGTGTTTACTTACAGGTGTTTCCATTCACGCCAACGGAAATACATGCTTGAATGGACCAACAAATGAAGCTTAATCACTATATAAGCTGTATAACAAACTAAATGGAGAATCTAAGGACCATCCGAAGGGTTCTGCCGATCTGAAGTCGACATCAGGCGCAGGCTCTGGTTCATCAGGGATGCTCGCAAAAAGGGGCGCCAATTGGCAACAAAACCATCCACACATCACCAGACATGGCCATGTCCATGTCCCCGGACGGGTTCCTCAAAGCTTCCTGAAGTCCCGGGAAAGATTCCAGGGCTTTGGCGCCAGTCGTTTTCTGCTCAACCCATTGGATGCAGGCAAGCCAATGCAAGTAACCAGGGGAATCCGCCAGAAGTGTTGAAATAGAAGGCTTAAGCTTGACTGGAAGCCCTGAGCAAATTAGGTCACGCCTCAAAATGTCAAGGGGATTCCTTTTGTGTGCCTGCTCCAGTACCATCCAAAATCCCATGCATTTGTCCAAGGAGGTCGCCATAAATGGCAGAACCTTGTTGCGGGGCAAATTAACCTAAGGGGTTCATGACCATCCATTCCAGCCAGGATTTGGTGTTCAGGGCATCGCCGACCTCAAGGTCTTCCCAGTCCGTCTGAGGTCTGCGCTCCTCCAGGGAGATGACCCCGCTGCCGCCCACCTGTGCGCTTTGGGGCCCGCCCGACCCATCTGAGGTCTGTCAGGGTGTCCTCCGTTTCCCTTCTTGGAACCGCCGAAAGTGACGATCGTTGCAATGGAAACCACCAGTTGATTGACCAACTTTGGGGGAAATCCAGTGACCCGTCAAAAAAAACAAAAACGTCATGACACATGCCAACAAAGCATAGAGGATGGTAGCGGCCGCCTTCGGGGTTGCAGCCATGAAACCTGCGGGGTGAGGTGGGGCGATTCGAAGACATCCCACCTTTGACGTCTTTTGCTGTTCGAGCCCGGACTAATTTACCAGAATCTGCCGAATCGGTGGATTCATAGGGTGTCTCCGAAAAGCCAGGGATTCCAATTCTCCATGGAAAAAGCCCCCAAATTGTCGATTCCCATGAACTAAGACCACAGCCAGCTGTGAATCAGAGGGGCCCACTGGAAGAAAACTTCACCAAACAAGGACCCTGAGGCAGATTGACTTTTGGCGGGTTCCCACTCAAAAAAAAACGAGGCAACGCGACAAAACAGGTCAATGCAACCGGGCAACTATGAATAAGAAATCCGCAAGCGGCCTTCATCCGGGTGAGGTCGCAACCCCTCGAGAGGACGCTCTTATCTTTGCTCACAAAACATGCGGTTGTGAGACCTGACAAGTTGCCCATCATTTGGCCCAACTTCGAGAAATCTCTCAACAAACAAGATTCTAGATATGTGGGCCTGGGCATGTCTTATTTTTTGTGGGTTTGTACCTTTTTTGGTGTGGACTTTGGGATCAAGGGCAAACAGGATTCCACATCCCCTTCCTTGCTGGGGTTTGCACGTCAAGAAACTGGGAGTCGGGGCAATGGTACAAGGATATTGGGACATCTTCAGAACCGACCTCCTAACCAAGCACTCGGATCCTCGAAATCAGCAGGTGCATTGTTTGACTGGCCCATATGCATCTTCAAGTGATCCTGATTCGTAGAGCCCCCGGCAACACTTGAACCTCAAATCGAAAAAAATCCACAGGCAAACCGGGTCGGGTTGCACCCTCCCTTGAGGCCCAGAATTGACCGCCGCTAGCTTCTACATTCTAAAGGTAGTAGAAAGTGCTGAAGCTCCGCATGGGACACGCGCGAGAATCCTTGAGTGCTTGAAAGGGAGTGCAATTTTAAGTAGGATACCCCAAAATGGGTGGTTTTCACTTTGGACTTCCTCAGAAGGGATCAACAAAAGGGTGTTCTCAATCTAAGACATACCCAAATGCTCCTTGAAGATGGCATTGCATATCCATGGAAATGGGGATAACAGGTTGCTCAATCAAAAACGTCAAAAGCCAAACCTGGAAGGTACCAAACTGCCAACGCCAAACTGCACTTGGCTGTTTCTTCTCCTGCATAGCTTCGTTTTCAAGGACACCTCCTCACCTTGCCTTGGACATGGCGTCCGCAATCATCTGCCCAGCCTGGCCGGCTGAGAAGGCAGCCAACGTGGAACTTTGTGCCCTCCAAACAACCGGGCTTTGCTCCCCTTTGAAGAGGAGCCAACCCAAAAACAGTTGCCTACTTCTGTTCTGTGACTTGTAAACATCTCTCGCGGCAAAAAGCGCAAAACATGTTCTTAGATTTGTGGCGTACCAACTCAAAAGCCACACACCCAACCCGTTTATGTGGGACCTTCTACTACCTTTTTCGTGAGCAACAGGCTATGACGTGAACCTCTCAACTCTCGTCCCAGTTTGTTGCTGGTTCTCAGTGGGGGAATCAACCCAGGAATCCCCTTCAAAGACACCAAAAGATATGTTTTATAAGGGCATTCCCTCATTCCCTCCGAGGACCAAGTTTTGCCGAACCGCAGAACCGCCCGCTGGCCTCCTCATCCCCGCCGGCTGAGATGGCGCCCACCTAGCGGCTTGTCAGCGCATTTGGCGGCGTGGAGGCTCCGTGTCTCACTTGAGCGGCGCAGAAAACCCGAGCTGACTTGTGGTTCTACCAACATGTTCACTCAACTTTACTAGCTCGCCGCAGTGCTAGCAGAACCATCTACCACAATGGCCAACATGAATCCCACAAACGTGGTCCCCCAAAAGAAGATTCCTCGTGATTGCTCTACAAACTAAATCGTTCCATGTTCATTGCCAGGGAGCATTCGCCATGTTAATCGGAGGTGTCATAAAGGTAATAGCAAGGCCTACATAGACCTTCACTACCACCATCCCAGTAGATGCGTATATTTAAGTCAAATTCAGGGAACCCCATGTGGTTGTGTTCATCTTGCTTTCCCCTTAAACCAACCTTAAAGAGGGTCGGTCCGTTTTGTTGTTTCGCTGCAATGGCTCTTGCTTAGGAGTGGCTCGCTACAAGAAGTGGCTGGGTGTGGGCACCATGACAGGGGAAGGCGGGTGGAGAGCAAGATCCCCAACATCACCGGCTCAGTCCCCCCCTGATGTGCGTCTGAGCCCCATGCTGCGTTGCCCAGGGCTGAGGCTTTAGACGGCTTTAGAGCTTTGTCCGGGTTGGTGTTTGGTTCGTTTGGGGCTAGCTGGGGCTTGACCACCGCTTGGCATTAGTTTCTATTTGGCTTAGTTTAGCGTTGAACTTGGGTGAACTTGGGGGTGGCTTTGAGCTGGCGTGTGTCAGGTTTTGAGGCTGGGTTTCAGCAGCGCTAGCTCTTGCTGAAGAGGTCGATTCATCTATATGTTTGCTGGTTTGACGGTTTGGTGCAAGCGAAGCAACCATCCGCCTGAGCCACTCCTACGCAGAGGCCATTGCTAGCAAAACAAACCCGGCACCTCCCCTCAAGGGTACCAAGCTCAGAACACCAGAGCCCCAAAATCGTTCTTGGGCTCCATGTAGTCCCGGGGCTGTCGCCTGTTTGATCTTCTCCATGTCGGAGTCGCTCACGGGCACCGCCTAAGGAGAAGAACAGATCAAGGGCCAACCTCAAGAGTCAAGTCCGTTTACCCCCCCCCCAAGAAAGCAAGAACGAAGCGCAGAAGCGAATGGGTTCCCTGTAGCCGGTCTGAAAAGTTATGCCCCAACATGATTGCTTCTGTGCTTTTAGACTTTTCCCAACAAAGCCTGTGTTTCCGGGGGGTCTACTGCTTTCTTGTCGTTCAAGCAAGGTGTTCGAAACAAAGACAGCAAGGAATATGTGAGGCACGGTCGAAATTACTTACTTACGGCCGTTTCGCTACTTAGTTTGAAAGTCCCCTATCGTTTTCCAGCGTTTCCTCCTTTTTCAGGGGTATTGTTTTTTTGAGAGCCCCCTATCGTTTGCCATGGCTTTGTGCATTTTCACAATATCAATGAAACACCGAATACTAAACTCAGCAGAAGTATGTTTGACGGTACTTCACGTATGTTTTGCTCTTGTTTCCGCAAGACACATCTCCGACGCGCCTGCACAAGCGAGGGTTGTAAAGGCGCTCAGGTTGTTCCTTACAGGGGCCCGGAAATGCAGGTTTTAGCCCTGAATCGGTGAGCTCGCTATAAACTCAACCCAAAAGGACCACTTACCCAGTACTTCCACTTACCAGTATACCTCAGATTTCCTCCAAGACGATTTAAACATAATACTGCCGACAAAGTGTGAAGCAGAATTTGAGCATATCAGTTTGGTGTACCTCGGACTAGGTAGCCAAAAGAACCTATGCATGGTAAAACCTTTGGAGGTTACGGATAGTCATGCAGAAGGGGCCCGGTGGCTTGGTTGGAATTTGGGCCTGTCAATGGCTCACCCGAAAATCGCATCAAACCAATCCCTGCCTTCCGCACTCTCTGAGTGGTTCTCGCAAGCAACTGTCTTGAGATTGGATTGCAAAATCTGCAAGCCCAGTTCTAAGCACACTAACCCCAGAGAATGCAACATCCTAAAGCACTTTCAAGGAGCCAAAGGGTCCACAATAAAACAACAACCCCATGGTGTCACTGAACAGGAAGCCAACCCAACCCCGCTCTCAACAAGGGAGAATATTGAGCGCATTGTAAGCAAACTCTGAGTACGAAACTGCATTCACCTTGTGAGGTGGCTCGCTTCAACTTGCCCAAACTAAGTGGCGCACAATCTTCTTGATGCTTTCCACCACGTGCTTGGCTGCCTGGATAGGTCGAGCACTCCCCCCCAAGCAAAAATGTTGATTCCAATCAGACGGTGGCTACGTCGCAGCCATGTACCCGCTACCCGCAGATTGTAATTACTTTGCTGGCGCAAGGCAGAACCATCGCGCAGGCTTGCCAATTAACAACTTCCTCAAAAATAAGGCTAGAAGCGA